CTCAATATCTAATTCGAGTCACTTGATCAACATACTCAATGTATGACCTCATACTTGATATTCGACTCTAAGGCTCTAGTATGAAATCGGGTATATTTTATATTCGACTCTATAGAGTCTCATCTTAGACATACTAACGCGACTATAAAATTTTAATATTTTATCATTAATACAACACAGATATAAAGACAGTTCATATTGGACATACTTAACCCCAATATAATTTAGTCTTATCCTACTTACTACTCAAGTGTTAGGAAGATCATCTGTGTGATAAGGTCAATCATAAAGCCTGGTGATATTATTACGTATCTAATCATGCAATTATGTTCATGAATATTTCATAAGAAAATAACAACTTTTGTTTCATAAATGATCAATACACAAAAACATATGTCCATTACATATCAAATCCCACTAAAAAATTAACGCTTACTCAAACATAAACTCTTCACATGACCCTGAAAAACATCTATAGGTATAGGTTTAGTCAAATGATTAGTAACCATTTTACTAATGGATATATACTTAATAACAACTTCTCTTTTTTTGATGGCAACTTGAACAAAGTGATAACCCCTCTTAATATGCTTGGTTTTCCTATGGAATATCGGATCCCCAGCATATTGGATGGCCGGCAGTATTGTTACAGTATATTTCTATAGGTTCATTAACTTTAGGGGTGATGTTGAGATCCTGTAGAAAGCTTCTCAACCAAATTACCTCTTGTACAGCAAGACAACTAGCAATATACTCCACTCCCATTATAGATAAAATAATGCAGTCTTGCTTTTTACTACACCAAGATATAACACATCTACTAATGATAAAAACATATCCTGAGGTCGGCTTAGGCTCATTCCAGTTGTTATCCCAGTCTGCATCTAAATATCCTTTCAATCTTAAGTCCCCTCCTTAATAACAGAGGACTAGGTCATTTATACCACGAAGGTAGCATAAGATTCTCTTAACTGCTTGCTAATGAGCAGGTCCAAGGTTGTTTTGATAACGACTTACCAAACCAACCGCAAAACAAATCTCTGGTTGTGTACACATCATGATATACATCAAATTGCTTATTGCAATAACATAAGGAACGTTGCTCAATTTCTTTTTCTCTTACTCTGTCTTTGGGCACTGACTAAGACTTAAGATTAGACCATTCTCAATATGAGTGTCAACAGATTTGGAGTAATGCATATGAAATCGTTCCAAGACTCTCTTAATATATGCTTCTTGACACAGTCCTAGAAGTTTCTTGGGACG